TCTATCTACCCATCTATCTATCTACCTATCTATCGATCGATTTCTCTTTTTATTTTTCTATTTATCTATTTATCTATTTATCTATCTATCTATTTATCTATCTATCTATCTAGTTGCCATGGGCGCTGCAGGGCGCCTGGGTGTTTTGTTGTTTTTTTGTTTTTTGTTAAATATGTTTTTTGCTGATGGGGTGGGGTGGGAGGTTAACGTTCATGTTGCGCTCATGATGTTACGTTGATCACTGGGTGGGGTGGGATGTTAACGTTCATGTTATGTTCATGATGTTACGTTGATCATTGGGTGAGGTGGGATGTTAACATTCATGGTATGCTCATGACGGTACGTTGATCATGGGGTGGGGTGGGGGTGTGGGGTGGGATGTTAACGTTCATGTTGCGCTCATGATGTTACGTTGATCATGGGGTGGGGTGGGGTGGGGTGGGATGTTAACGTTCATGTTGCGCTCATGATGTTACGTTGATCATGGGGTGGGGTGGGGTGGGGTGGGATGTTAACGTTCATGTTGCGCTCATGATGTTGCGCTCAAAAAAAAGTTGCAGGTTTTGAAACAGTAGGCCCACCGGAAGATATTCCAACATGTGCTGTCCTTTCGTTTATTTCAACACCGACATTCTAGGTTTGCTTGCTCAAAAGCCGTCCACCGCAAGAATCATGGGAGGAGATCCAAAATTCAAAGCTTCTTTCAGCTGTCAGCTTCAAAAGGCCTACAAATTTCTAATGCTGATGGTGCTCGTGCATGGTCCAAAGCTGCGAAGGTTTTGAAAGTTCCTTGTTTTCAAGTGAATCATCAGCAGAAAGAATATGCTTCCACAATTCGTAAAGTGCCCAAGGGATTGTCGAGCATCAGTGGAACACAGACCATTGACAGACCATTGATTCAGATTGGAAATCGTTGAAGTGTTGGCTTCCCAAGGAAGCTTCCAAAAGGCACTGGTGACTTGGCGACCCACTCCTCAAAATTGGAGCAAAGGGTCTGGCAATGGATGTGGCGCAGAACAAAGCTGCGCGGCAATAATTCAGAAAAACTTGCAGCCATGAGCAAATTGTTCAATGGTTGAAGTAGTTTTTGGGACGTCAAAAAACCAGCGTGCAAGGCTGCATACGCAATTCCCATGGGAAATTCACGCACACACCCTTAAAACCACCAGGCGACTATCAGCGCCGTTCCCATCTAGGTATCTATGCATTTATCTATCTATCTATTTTTCTAAACTAATCGAATCGAATGTAATCTCATCTAATCTAATCAATCTGATGGATCTATCTACTGTATCTCTCTCTCTATCTATCCATCTATTCAATCTAATCTAATCCAATCTAATCTATTTTAGTTTGTCTTTCTTTCTTTCTGTCTTCCTTTCTTTGTCTGTCAAACTGTCTAAGTATCTATCTATTATCAATATGACTGACTATCTGTCTATCTGAGTATCTATCTATCCGTCTATCTATCTGTCTGTTTGTCTATCTGTCTATCCGCACGCGCCGCTTTAGCGAGCCTCCTTTTCGACCCTCCGGAGCCACAAAACATTGGAAAAACACAATGCTTCGCGACTTTTCTACCTTTGCGCGCACCTGCATCTTCTTTCTACTGATCTTCTTTCTACTGACTCTTTCTCTTCTGACTCTTTCGCTTCTCTGACTCAACACTGTTGCTGCATCTTTCCATAGGTCCGAAGTTTGACTTTCTAAATGTCCTTCGATCATGTATATAGGAACCGGAAAAGATATATATATATATAGATAGACAGACAGATAGATAGATAGATAGGTAGGTAGATAGATAGAAAAGATTAGAAAAGTGCTTAGAGGATGGCAGTTCGATGATGTTTCCCCCAGATTTAGAGATTTCCGACTGTTCAACCACTTTTTGGGGATCGCCATCTGTGTGTATATTATATGTGTGCGTACGTGTAATATGTGTATATATATATATTAATGACGGATCTGTATACATGTACATACATATAGGGAGAGAGAGAGAGAGAGAGAAAAAAAAAAAATGGAGTAGATTTTTTAAACATGCGTTCTTTCATTTTTAAAAAAAAACTCTCCAAAATGGGAATCTTGTTCAGCATCCCATCAAATCATCCATATTCTATCTTCAGGTATATGTGGGTCATATATGGTGGATCCCCAACCCTAAACCATAGGTTTCAATACTAAGCCATTGTCTAATGACGGGATAATTTTTGGGCACCCCCGTTTCAGGAACCTGCATATATATATATACCCTCCAGTAAATTCACATAGACTCCGCCAATTCTAAGTTTTTAGTGGTTCCACTAATCTTCCAAAACCCCATTTGGCATTCATTTACCGGAATACATATTTGGGGATGGGTCAAAACCTATGAATTTACCATATGACTGGAGACTTAGGGTACCGTCCATGAAATCCTATGACTTAGGGTACCATCCGAGTACGCGGCGTGGCACCTTGGTGACTTTGAATTTGCAATGTCCACCTTCAGGTCCGAAGCCTGCCATTTTGGAGACGGGCAGCCACCAGTTTTGTCTGGCCATATGGAGAATAGGTATTTTTTTGCCTAAGCAATTCAAGTGGATCTATTTCATTTCATTGATTAAAAATATGAAAATATACTGTGGGGCACCCAAAATATGAAAAATATACTGGGTCCAAAACTGGCGGAAGGGCCATGAAATTTTCGAGATTTGGGGGTCATAGTGACCACCCCCTGGGAGTATCATCCAACCCCCGTCAAGTGGATCATGATCTAAGATGTATCTATGAACCAACATGGACAACATCAAAAATAGATTTTGGAAAAAATAGAATATGTTGGCCAAACATTGCCCCTAAAAAACACTTGGATAGACCATAGGTAAACCAACCTGTTGGAAAAAAAACACCCATGGTTTCCCCCCTTTGGCGCCTTGCGGCAGCTCGCTCTTCAACGCAAAGACGTCCTGATCAGGGAAGGCTTCGCAGGAGATGAAGCCGTAACCTTTCACCTCGCGCGTGCGAAAAACCCAAGTGTTTTTACCCAAGGGTCGCAAGGGTTGGAAGCATCATGTTGAGATTCAATGGCCATGTCGGCTTAGTATAGATCATTTCTGGTCAAACCCAACATGTATCAAGCATCAAATATATGGGTCGAGCTGGAAAAAACAACAAATAGCAGGGAAATTGGGGGCATCAACAAAAAAATGCCATGTTTCGCAGCGATGGGGAAAGCAACCAGCCCCATGGCATTGCTGGTGTACCCCCGTCGACTCGTCGACTCGTCGACTCGACCAGATTTTGTCCACCAAGGACCGCACTGGATTGAAGCGTTTGATCTCTCCAAAGTAGAAGGCCTCACGAAAAGGACACACGTTGCCATCTTGAAAGGTATGAACAGAAAAATGAGGAGAAAGAGAAAAGAAAAATCGAAAATCTCAATGTTCGTCCCATTCTTCGGTGGTTTTTTTGGGTGGATTTCTTGTTTTCGGATAGATTTTTGCCGGATGGTTTCACAGTGGAACAACGACCAACTGAGTCACCACCCAAAGGCCGGTTACGCAACCCGCGTAAGGTCGTCCCAATGTCGGTTACTGTACATGTTCCCTCACAAACCTCCAGCATCATGGGAGAAAACTATGGAAATTTCTTCATTTCGTGGTGAAAATCGAAGCCAGTGAAATTCCACTGGCAGAAACGGTCAAGCTCTACCGAAGATTTTTCACCTGTCCCCAAATTGGTGATCAATTTCAGTCAACTTCCCAATATGTCTTTTGTTGATGAATTCCACCATTTCTATACATCATTTCATGATATTTTTCACCGCATGGTAGATAACCCCCAGCATCGCAACCTCCCATGTGCATAGTATATATTCACCCATTTAATTTCTTTGTCATGAGCATATGTAATCATAGCAAATATTAGTTATATTATCTAGCTATATTATATATATATATGTGATATATATTTACATTTTTGCTTAATTAGTATTAGTTATTTACGCCAGTAATCGCTAGTATAAATATAAAGGATCATCACATGCTTGCTAGATAATCAAAAATTCATTCCAATATATGTTTTCCACAATTCCACATTTCTAAAATCATGGAAATGCATTAACACTTAAATATAACATGTGTTTATAGAACTTTGAAAAAAAAAACAGAAGATCCATTTCTGCCACAAATTTTCTGTGATTGGATTGGTTTAAGGGAAATTTTAGAGGAAACCATAGATTTTCCCATTAAAATCCATTAAATATGGGGCTTTCCTGTAGATTTTCCCTTAAACCAATCCATTGATTCTGGCCTCATCTGGCGGGACCACAACTTTCACCTCCGTGGCCACGGTGCCCTTCTCAGAGGTCTCCACGGTGAAGGTCACCTGGTTGCCTGCCTGACGAGGGGCCCGGGACGACGCGGTTCGGAAGTGGAAAGCGTTTTACAACGGGAGCGTGGAACCAGGGTGAAACATCGAAACAAAAATGGTTGAAAATGGTTTGTAGATGGTTTAAGATGGTTTAAGATGGTTTCCGGAATGTGGATGGCCAGAATGCTGAATACCCTTCAATATTGGGGCATCCAAAAGAAATAGATTCAATACTAAACAAGCTTTCTAAGAGTATATTTCATGCCAAAGTCACACAGTCACCTTTGGAGTGTGGCTTTTAAAATGATTAAAACCACCTTGGGGAGATGGTAAGCACCTGAATATGGTTATCCCCAATATCGTAACGACAGTTCGTCACCTTGGTTGGCCTTGCAGCCAGCTACTAACTTACCACGCTTGGAACTGTTTGAGGCATCTCCACTTCGCTCCGCATAGAATAGTCACAGTCCCAGAGACAGGAAGAAGTTGACACTACCCTCCAGTAAACCAACATAGCTATGGAAGCCATGGCTCATTTATATAAACAGATGATTCATCTATTGCCAATGCAGATGTTCCATGGCAAACTGTTATGTAAAATAATCAAATGGTAACGAGGTTCTCCCAATTACAACTGGAAAGCTGGCTGTCAGCCAGCCCACAGCTTTGATGGTGATACTCCTACGATGGTTCTCTTGGAATGTCAACAGGTCAGATCCCATGGCACTTTTGCTGAAAGCCTCATGGTGAAACAGTTGTCGTGGTGTTTACCCTTGGTATTCTTGGAGGGAAACTATCCATCCCCAGCAAATCCTATCACTCACGACTGGAATTCAATTTTTGTGTGTCTGGAACAAGTTGTTCTTAGTCTGGAACAAGTTGTTCTTATGGGATTTGTTGGCAATTTCCACGTCAGTTCTATGCAACAACATCTTCCCAAACGCGCCCAAACGCTGCAAGGATCTGCCAAGAAGCCGACGGACATTGGCCTTTCAATTCTTTCTTGTACAAAAAGCTGTCCTGACCATTGCACTCAACAAAGCCCCATCCTCGGCGGGTCCGCGCGGATGGAAATGCTGGTAAGGGATCAAGTGGTCAGAATCGTTTCCGAGCACTTGAAACAATGACTACGAGTCAGTAATACATGCATTGGATGACCGCGTTCCCATTTCTGAGTCCAGGGGAACTTTTGCAAGTTTCTGCATGCACATGGGACACATTTAGTGATTTCTAGTCATTTTCAGGGTGCCCAGTTTCGACCTTTGGTTTTGGAACCCTGGGACTGCCAAGTCAGTGGGTTTTTTTCTTTTCCGCTCTGTGGCCAAGTTTCCCTTGTGAGGATTGTACGACTTGACCGTACCAGTTTGCATGAACGATGGGGCGCAGCTCGCTGACGAAATTTGAATGGGATCCTATCTACATCACTGGAGCCAGAAAGCGCCGAGTTCTTTTCTGGATGACTTTCCCTTTTCAATGCCCAGTTTTGAGGAGACCGGAGGGCAATATTCATAGATCCAATACTGAACCAATACTGAACCAAGGTGCTAAGTTTTCGCTTGTATTCAACATATATTCGGGGAATGGTCGTCGAATGATGCGGTGGACTCCACTCCCCCAGCAGTTTCCCAAGGACGGTGGAACCATGTGGAACCCGATGGGCGGAGGTCAGAATCTCGGTTCCGGGAATCCACCATGCCATGTTTCGGATTCCTGTCCCATATGTCCCTCTAATCTCTGGCAACCTTGAGCACTGGAGGTTGCCAATCATCGACTCATCGACAACCGTCATAGGAAAACCAGTTGGGAATGCAGTCAATTCAGGTCATTCGTGGTGTTTTCCATTGAAAACTGACATTTGGACCCATAGTGAGATCACCATGGCGTGCTGCATTGATGTTGCTGTTGGTTTAGAACCGCATTTTTTCCATACAAAATGCCAGCTGATGTAGCCCATCTATTTGAAAGAGGATAGCCCCATTAGGGTTCCCAGTTCATGAGTTAGAAAGCCCCAAAGAAAACGAACATAGTGTTCCACACCAGGACAAAAACTGCTCCAGGCATGGATTTTTCAGGCCCTAACCTCAAGGTTTCTGAATCTTTTCGAGGGTTTGCCATGGTATAACCGGCAATCTACCCATTGGTACTTGGGCACTGCACATCCCATCTTGGCTCCCCAACGCCGGAGCCTAGGACGGTGCCAGGATGCAAACGGCCACCCATCAACTGGCAAACATCCACCCATGGCGCCTCATTGCGCCTCAAACCGCCGAGGTTCACACCGGCTCTTCGGAAGCCCGCGTCGGAGCCACATAGGCTCGCACGGACTTCAGCTGATGCAGCATGAAGAGGTACGGATCCTGGCAAACCCTCAATGACTTGGACTCGGCAAATGACTTTTTCGCGGGACCCAGAAGAAAGATGCCCAAAAATGTGAAAACCCGGATGGGAAAAAGACTCTGTACCCTCCACATTTTCTAAGTTTCCGACTCTTGTATCTATTTGGGGGTTGCTGTAAAATAACCCATTTTCCATTTGGGGATAGTTTATGTATAGCATCCATTTGTGATCATGTTGGTGATGGTTTAGAATTGGGTTTACCACATTACACGTGATTCACAAACTTGGAGGAGTAAAAACCATATTCTTCGGATGATCCCTGCCCGAAACATTTGAAGCCGTCCCTGCTTCAAACATGTTTTAAACAAATTTTGGTGACGTCGTGATCAGTTGCCCAGATGAAATGGTGGTATTTACTGTGTCCTGAGTTTGTTTCTGGTCGTTTGAATCGCCCTTTGCAACTGGGAGAGGGGCCCAACCCTGCCCTCCCTCAGAAAATGCCACTGACTTCTTTTCGAACACCTTGCTTGCGACAGCCATGGTTAAACCTAAAAAGCGTTGGAAAGGTTGATGCGCAATGTTGATGTCTGCTGTTGATCATTATGTACATATACATATGTGTAGTTATGTGTATATATATAGTTATGTATGTGTGTGTACGTACGTACGTATGTAAGGGTGGATGGATGGGTGGGTGGATGGATGGGTGATGGATGGATGGATAGATGGATGGATGTATGTATCTGTTTAGTCCTGGGAGAGAAAGCCTCAAGGGTTGACAAAACGCCGACCGTAGCAGTTTTTATCTCTTGGTTCTTGTTCTCGGCTACAAGTACACTCCTCTCCGTTGAGATAGACCTGCATGCCAAAAGGAGTTGCACTAAGTACCGCTTGCCCCTTTCAGAATGGTTCGCCTCATGGCACTGAGACTGGATTGTTCTTCAAATTGGTTACTTATGGTTGGGACCTACGTACAAAAGGGTGATCCAGTACCTTCCACATCGCTGCCATCAACTAATCATCAACATCGTCATCGTCATCGTCATCATCATCATCATCATCATCATCATCATCACCACCAACAACATCAACAGTAGCATCGCCATCGTCATCCTCATCCTCATCATCATTGTCGTCGTCGTCGACGCCGTCGTTCTCCTCGTCCTCATCCTCATCCTCATCATCATCATCACCACCGTCACCATCACCGTCACCGTCATCGTCGTCGTCGTCATCATCATCATCATCATCATCATCACCACCATCACCATCACCGTCACCGTCGTCGTCATCATCATCATCGTCGTCGTCATCATCATCATCATCATCATCATCATCATCATCATCATCATCATCATCATCATCATCATCATCATCATCATCATCATCATCATCATATTCTTCATCATCATATTCTTCTTCTTCTTTTTCTTCTTCTTCTTCTTCTTCTTCGTCTTCAGCATCATCTTCCTTATGATCTTCATCATATCATTGTCATATTCTCTTCCTATCCTCATACCCACTGCAGTGAGAGCTCCTGTGGTCTCGTCTGAATCAAGGCGGTGAGCATGCTCTGAACCTGGAGCTGCGCAGTGAGCAGGGAACACCCACCATTGATAATAGATGACATAGCCATTATTTACCCATAAATATCATGTGTGGAAAATGGTGGAATTCCCATTTGTGAAATTTACCCTCCGCGACATAGACCTTGAAAATCGCCCATTTTGAGTAAAGTGGCGCGATTTCTTGGAACCTCTCGGCTGAGTGCCAGGCATATTTTAAAACACCATGAAGTTCAAGGTAGTCTCGCGCTGAAACGGGGCCAGTCGCGCTCGTCGGCCTCCGCGCGGGCGGAACTTTTTGGTTTGTCGGACGCATGTTTCAGGCGTTTGCCGATGTGGTGTTCATTTGTGTAGGGCCTATGTGAAGATTCCGAAAAAGACATCCGACTGGCTGCTGGATGGCCATTCTTAGTCGTAGTTCGTTGCTTATATCGTCTTACATCTCTTTTATGTTTCGTGGTTAGAAGTGTCCATTTGCCAGGTAAATTCCCCTACTTCTGGCTCAAATGCCCTTTTTACCACCCCCTTCTGCTCGCGCCTGGGCTCCTCGGCAGTTCCTGCCGATGTTCGGATGGTTGCCCCCACGTCTTTTTGTTTAAAGGACGCCTACGTAAATTTTTGGTTCGGTCTCATTTTGTGGTATGGGTGAAAGATTACGTTAGAATTCGTCTTACTTTAGGTCTTGGCCATCCCATACTCCAAATCTGCTCGGCTTCCCACATCTACGTCATAGATTTCGTCACCGGAGGCATGGAAAGCAAGCGCTTTCAAGGGAGTGTCACATTTGGGGCCTGAATCAATATTGGGTACACCGTTCATTTTTTTTTTATGTACCCTCTGGCAATTTAACATAGCTATTGAAAATGGCCCATTTATAGTGGATTTACCCATGAAAAATGTTGGATCTTTCCAGTTCGTTTTTTGTATGTTTACCAGAGGGTAACACCGGTAACACCCAGCAAACCAACCATTGTGAGGCCGTCCCCCAGTGTTTACCTGGCCCCTGAGGCCGTCTCTCCAGCCTTCGCCAGGCGAAGGAGGGCTTTTGGAGCCACTGGAAGACCTGGAGTTCGTGAGCCAAGGCAGCTGGATCCTTTGAAAAGCGCAGGTTTATAGTGGGAAAATGGGAAAAGCTAGTTTTACAGTGGAAAGTTTGCTGGTTGTATGTTGAAGCTGATTTATATGGCGGGTTGAAGAGTACAACTTGAAGTTGAAAGGAAAGCACAGTTGAAACCCATCCACTGCCAAAGCAGATGCGACTTTGCTGATCGCTTCCGCAAACACTTGGGGACTAACAAGACAGCTTGGGCTGATACCCTCTGGTAAACTAAGAAAGCCATTGAAAATGGACCATTTATAGATGATTTACCTATGAAACTGGTGATTTTCCATCGCTAGGTTAGTTTACCAGCGGGTAACTCTATTGCAAAAAAACTGATATTCACAAAAAATGAGCAGTGACATTATATAGTCACTGCTGAAGAACGGTTCACATACAGTAAAATGGTCAAATCAATATCATAATACCCAGACAGGGCTTATCGAACAGACAAGTTGATTTGGGAGGGTGAGAGAGGGCGACCTAGACCAAAAGGCGATAGCACAGCACAAAAAAAAACGTGCAAAACAGACCAGGCACCTTGGCAAAATACAACTGACTTTGATGTTTTCAACCAATATATACATAATATATATATATATATATATATTTTTGTGTGTGTTATATATATATATACATATGTGTGTGTTATATATATATGCCCTCCTGCAAATTCACATGGACCCTGAAAATAAGCCATCAGTGGAAAGTCATCTTCCCCCAGTCGGTCCCAGTAGCGAGACGTGGAGGCCCAGAGCCATGTCGGGACGGTCCCAGAAGTTCATCAAATAGCTGTCCTCCGGGCAACGCCGGGCTGACCGCGGCAAGCGTAACACACCGTAACGTGGTGCCCCAGTGATGGAACGTTGGTACAGTAAACCATAGGAATTTCGTATAGATATATATATATATAGTTATATATATATCATGATCTATCAACCATAAACCATAGTGACATTGGAGTTATAAACGCACCAACTTAAGGAACTGGGGCACCTTGCACGCAACCCACGTACGCAAAATTCAGCGACGTGGGATGAGCGGATAAACCATGATAGATTTCTATAGTTTTTTCAAACGTTTTTCAAACGTGGGATACTTGGGATGATTAGTCAAGTTGTGCCCAAAAATAAATGAAGACCAAACGCAACAATTCACAAATCAGTAGCAAGAAAATGGACGAGCTTTGTTATGGTGATATATGGTGATATATGGTGATACTCTTTTGATGCTTAAGGTGAACCATCCAAGCCCGGAATTGACATCAGGAAAATGATCCCGATGTAACATCATCAGCTGCAAAGGTAACAGCGCCCAACTTGAACAACATGACGAGAAGTCATCTTGTATAATACGTGCATGAAAGAAAAGATTCTAAGATATTCTAAGATAACATGTATAATATATCCCATTTGATAAAGATGTTATAATTCTAATTTAATATTACCTTCGATAGTTACTATCTGTGAAGAATGTAGATTCTAAGGTCTTCTTCATAGATACTTGACCAAAATAAGCGCCCCTCTTTATCCAAGTAACGTTTTGGTGGATCGGATCTTGCGAGGAGAAATGGAGAATACATAGCTGATCATAGCTGTCGGCCAAAAAAATGGGGGATCCGGGATGCAAATGGTAAAGACGACTGGGATGTGAACGGAATGAAGCAATAATTCTTGGGGAAAAAATAAAAGGCCAGAATTATAATGTGATCGTGAGATATCGTGAGGTCACAACATTTTGGCCAATTCTGGGTACACACAACCTGCAAAATTGTTGGGCAAGTCCTTTTGGGGGGCCCAGTGCTTGGCTACTGGATACAATTTTAAAGATCTCTATGGCATGCCTCCAATGATTCCTCCATGCCTCAGTTAGAGCATTGATTTCTACCAGCCACAAAGATTTGCCCAGTTAGTTCATGATGGCATAATGCTATGAATGCAAGGATTTATCGCAGCACCATTCATTATCATCAAACCATTTGCCTCGGATCGTCGACAGCAATGGACGCTATAAATGGACCATTTGCCATAGCTATGCCTAGTACCAATCCGGGTAGCCGCTAGCAGCTGCTAGCACGACCTGTGTGGGATGAAGCACCAGTCGGGATGATGCCACCGGCTGTAGCACGTCGATCTTCAACCTGCACGACACAAAGAAACGGCAACGCATGGGCAGGGCGACAAAGTGTCGACTTGCAACGGCGATGAAGAATTCAGCCACATTTGGCGTTGCCTGTATGGCCGACAACTATATAAATAGATACGGTTTATTGGATTAGGTTGGATCAGATGAGACAAGATAACGCAAGATTAGGTAGGGCAAGACAAGATAAAATAAGATATTAAGGGATATAATAAAAACAATGGGATAGATCAATCATATCACTCTTTTACTGAGCTTTTGACTCACGAAAATGGAGGATTAGCTTTGTTCCAGCTATAGATATACTAAAATACACATGTGAAAGTGATTGACCTTTTTGTGCTCATAAGACGTAAACAAAAACCTAATTGGTGGAAGATAAACATAATTAACCCCATTTCTTGGACGGATTACATTATCATTTAAACAATATGAAACAATATCATATTCTCAATGCTATCCTTATCGTTGTTCTTATCTTCGTTAGCGTCAGTATCTCTATTTCTCTCTTACTATGGACGGTTTTTTCCTCCCTGCCGTTGCAATTAGTTTGTGCTGTGACAATGTTCATGGAGGATTCCCTGGGAGATGTCAGTCGCATGGCATCAGTTCAGTCCCAAATATGCTGGTGTTTCTGACGACTACATGGAAATTCCGTGTAGAATTCCATAGCTTCAGGTGCGCCTATTCTTCTTCTGTTCTCTTACGGAAACTGCTTCGTTTGACTATTATCATTGCTGATATTAAGAAACGATGCTGTTGTTGATGAGAACTATATTGGTATTAGAAACTATATATATATACTATAGTATATATATGTGTGTGTGTGATTGTATTGTTAGTGTTTAATTATATTATGTGTTTCCCTACTATCACCATTACTATCATCATCATCATCATCATCATCATCATCATCATCATCAGGGAAGGAGAGGAGAGAAAACAATGAAATAACCGAGATGTCTAGATCTACACTCCGACTTGGGCCGCCCCACGGCTCAGTCAGCAAATCAAGTTGGCCTCACAAAGCTTTAATGCTGGGATTCGTGGGGCACGCCACCATAAAACAACTGGAAAATAGATGGTGTTTCAGTCCCAATTCCCTGAGATCACTGGCAGGTTTCAAGGGAAGTTTTAAAACGAAACCATGGATTTCCCAGCTAGATAAACGAAAACCTGTATATAGATCCCAAACGCAAATTCTTGGATGAGAGTTATTGCTTGTCACTCTATATCCACGTCTGCAGACTATTCTCACCGAATGCACCCGCATGTTTATTGCATACATCCCTACTTTTTTGTGCTCACAATTGCTCACATTCCGATTCACCCATGTTCAGACCTTCCTAAATTCAACATGGAACTCAAAAAATCAACCGAACTCATGACATCTTCCAAACTCAATTTCTTGGGTTTCCATATGTTTCAATGGTTTCTAGCGGATTTTTTCAAGTCCCTGGTTGAAATCTTTTCCACGCCAGGGCACTGGGAAACTTCAACGCTTGAGATCGGGCAACCTCTAAAGACGCCTCCGTCACCGGTGAAGGGGTTGAAGCGTCCACAAACGGTGGGGTTCAGCGGAGTTCACCAGAGTTAACCTGGTTCCTCCAAGAAATGGTGAGACATGAGTTGACCCAAGAAATGGGAAAATTTGGCTTTAATTTCCGCGTGAACCTTGACGACCTGGCCGCAATCGCGGGCTGAATTTTGGCTGGATCTGGGGGGCAGGTGGTTCAAGACCAGAGCCCATACATTAGGGTAAACGCTCACATGATGTGGAAAACTCCGGAAAACCCATGAATTTTCCACATCGGAAGTCTACAAATGGTGGATTTTCCAGTGGTCACTCACCTCCATTCCCCGAGCCTGACGTCGCGTCCCGCCACAGCGGATTGACACCTGGTTCCCATGTTTTAGTGCGGCTTTAGTGAGGGGTTAATCGTTAGGATATATCCTACAGCTGTAATATGCTGTAATCGTAGAACATGTTAGACATGGCTGCAACAACAACAACAACAACAACAACAACAACAACAACAACAAGGGAACAAAAGCGGTAACAACAACGGTAATATTGATCACATAAAGTGGGCTGTGATATGCTTGCCACCCTTTCCGGAACTGAAATGCAAATCCAAGTGCTTCGTGTCCCCAACCTCACCTGGACCCAACAATCATCACATTTTCTGAAGGTGGATTTACTCTTAAAAAATCTCTAAAAAATACCGTTAAAATGTAAAGTTGGGTGGTATTCTCATGTTTGCGTGTTGATGAAAGTCCCATGTCCTGGCTCCCAAATTCTCAAGCTGGCTCTCCCTTCGGCTGAGGCACGATGCAGCCCTCTGGAACACCCGGATGCTCAGGCACTAAAACTTCCATGGTGTTCGGCGTGGAAGTTTAAGCTGCTCCAGATATTCACCTCTGGAGAAAGTACAATAAATCCATATAAATCCCCAGCTGCGGGTAGCCATGCAAATGGCAGTCAGGTCATTTCATGTCATTTCGGTTTCCTTATTGAATTCTATTTTCATTCGCTTCAAGAGCGGCATTTCACCATGAACGAGTCATGAACTCAGGTGAGGTTGGACCCATTTCTATCATGGATGAAGTGCTTCATGGCATGACTGAGCCAGGACGCAGCAGTTGGCTAAGTGATGCCAGACTCATGGACAAGGGAACTGTCATCTGCAATTTCCAGGACTTGTTATCTGAAGATACTGGATACTGGATGATTCGTGGTGTGTATATATATATATATCTGTGTGTGCGCGTGTGCGTGTGTATATATATATGTGTGTGTGTGTGTGCGTGCGTGCGTGTATATATATATACATACGTACGTACGTACGTACGTATCTATGTATCTATCTATCTATCCATCTATCTATCTATCTATGTATGTATCTATGTATCTATGTATCTGTGTATCGATGTATCGATGTATCGATGTATCGATGTATCTATGTATCTATGTATCTATATATCTATATATCTATGTATCTATGTATCTATGTATGCATGTATGTATGTCTGTCTGTCTGTCTGTATGGTATGGTATGGTATGGCATGGCATGGTATGGTATGGTATTGTATGTATTGTAATGTAATGTTATGGTATGTATCTATGTATATATGTATCTATGTATCTATGTATCTATGTCTCTATGTCTCTATGTCTCTATGTCTCTATGTCTCTATGTCTCTATGTCTCTATGTCTCTATGTCTCTATGTCTCTATGTCTGCCTGTCTGTCTGTATGTCTGTATGTCTGTATGTCTGTATGTCTGTATGAATGTCTGAATGTCTGAATGTCTGAATGTCTGTCTGTCTGTCTGAATATCTGTCTGTCTGTCTGGCTGGCTGGCTGTCTGGCTGGCTGTCTGTCTGTCTGTGTGTATGTATGTGTGTGTGTGTCTGTATGTATGTATGTGAATCGGAGGTTCTTTCCCCGATTATGTTCCTTTGGGCAGTTGTTGATGCAATGTGCTTTCACTTATGACGAACGGGGTCGCAACTTCGGCATGGAACTCTTTTCTCACAGGAGCCTGCAGTTTGGGCGTCTTGAGCCAAAGGGAGCGACAATCATGTCCCCTTGGCGCTGGAATGATTAAGGATATATACATGGGAATCGTTGCTGTGTCGTGGTCTAGTTCCCATTCGCACCCCCCACGCATGACCAACTTTGTTGATCACGCGCAAAGGAATGCACCTTAAATCGTTCCGTCGCATTTGCAGGCTTACATTTATCGAATTATGGAAAGTTAAAAGTTCATTCAGAACTCTCAATCTACAATGCGGCTTGCTACAATCTCTACTAGAAAAATCTGTTCACACGCACGCTGACAAGACGTAGTCTATGTACATCATTGAGGTTCATCCAAAGTGGCGTAGCCAGCATTGGAATCCCGTTCAAGCATGGGAATAAAAATCAAAATACAATGGTGACTCTGGAGCTAGAAGTTTACCTTCCCGTCCCTTCGTCAGTTGAGATGTAGACCGCTGTAGAAACTCAGCGTTTCATGCACTGACACTCTATACAAAATAAAAAATAAAATGTGGTTCTCAATTAGCCGGCTCAGATTCCTCTCAGAAATCATTCGAAATGAAGTAGAGGTAAATCACGAGCAATGATTGCTGTTTCACTTCGCCAGGTTCAATCAGGACCTATGCAGAGGTCATGTCGACTTATCGTCTGTATCCCCATCCATAGTATCCTTGATGATTCCAGTCACCACCACGGTGTGAATAAGATCTTTCACCTTTCCCTTGGTCTTTTCCACCTTTCTGTGGCGGGGGTACTGGAGCTTGTTTCGGCGGAGGAGCAGCTTCGACGGTTCTCCATGTTGCCGATGATGATGCTTTTGCTTTCGATACTCTGCCCAGTGCTGGTGCTGCTTTCGGGGCTCCCTTTGATTTCCCAGTTGCCGGAGTAGCACGTTCACGATTGGCAGGAACCGGGGTGTCAGCGATCGCAATCAGGTGGGCTTCTGACATGTGGATTCCCCACCTTGGTCGTTGATCATCCCGTTGTTTGATGTGGTTGTAGTCATCAATCGCATCATACAGCCTTTGGAGTAGAGGTCGAGGCATCTGTCGGCCATTTTGAAGGATCAAATGCAACACCGAAATTCTTCTAAGTGGTGGTCGAAGAGCACACACTATCTCAACTGGATTCAATGTGATCGTGTCTTGAAAGTCGATGTTCCTGAAGAAATAAACGGCATTCACTTTGTACGCACCTGCAATGATTCTTCTGACCATGACATCTTGTCGGTCAAGGGCTTCGCGGGCGGCTGCGGTCTTCCTCATCTCATCCCTCGTTGTGTCACTTTTCGACAACTTCTCAATATCGTCATCGTCAAAGATGTTCTTCAAATCTTCATAGGTGTAACCACATTCAAGGGTGTAGACGAGCAGCCGCTTGAGCACTACCGCTCCATAGTATGCATTGACGAATCCCTCTTCCCCGATGTCGTCTTTGTGTTCTGGTCGGCCGACCTCCTGGTAGAGCTCTTTCATCTGTTGTG